TCGGTCCACAATTTTTTATCGCCGATAACCGATAATAATTTTTCAATTATCGGCGATAACGATAATTATCGGCAATAAAATTTGGTCAGAACAATTAGCTTATTTTCCATCGATTCAGTGGCTTAATTAATCATACGTTGATGATTTATAACTTCCGTGATTGAGGGCAGTGGCGTAACGAAGGGCCCTGCTGACCCTGCTGTGCAGGGGGGCGCCGTCTTAGGGGGGCGCCAAATCGTCGTTTGAATGTGGGACAATTTCGAAAACTTAACTAAAGTACTAGCAAAACTGCGCGTTTTGCTCTAGATACACACTTTTTTAGAGATTTTATCTGCGTATCCTCTAAAATCACCTAATTTGTTCAATTTTAGGGAGGGGCACCAAAAGGGGAGGGGGCGCCAACAGGGGGGCGCCTTTTTGGCAGGGGGGCGCCAACAGGCAACGTTACGCCACTGATTGAGGGTCATGAATTCCCGAGATATCGTACACAAATTGTAAACGCGTAATTTCAAAATAGTCAATTAATTGAAAGTGAAGATCCGATATACTTTACAGTGAACAGTCAGTGACAATAACAATCTTACACAAAGTGGAACTCCACAGCCGCTAAACGGCTATACATTTCGGCTTGAGTTTTCTTTTCGATGTAAGATACTATTAGGGACTGATTTTTTGGTCGCTTGACTTTGGGGGATGCCGAAGATTTATCATTACTAGCAGCTGCATTTTCTATACCGTGTTTAACTCTCAAGTGGTACCAAAGATTAGTGTAAGACCTTTTCGCTGTTGTGCTGAGAAAAGACTTGTCACATTGCATGCAGGCCACGTTGTTCCCCTCTTTTGTGAAATGTTTCCAGATCTCGTTGGTTGACATATCAAGATTAACTAGTTTTCCGAGACACAACAGAAAACAGATAACAACTGATACGTGTAACGTAATCAATCAACGATTTAAGCAAATGAGCGACCCAGGCAAGTTAATCATCGGCAAGTTAATCATCGGCATTTCTCAGGGGAGGGGCGTGGAGTGTGGACTGTGCAGGAGTGTATTGTGTTGTTATGGTGTGTACTGTGTACTGTGTCGGGTTCAAATTATTACCTTATACGGTTGTAACTGAATTGATAGTTTGAAGATACTTATTACAGATTTACCGTTTAAACTTTAATTCCGTTGAATTCAAATATGCAACTATCCCATGAAATATGAATAATTTTACATAGTACATACCTTGTTTCACCAATCAACAGTGATAAGATAACATTGCAAATCTTGCTGATTTAAGTACTTAAGTAGCAAATTCAGATGTTTTGATCAGTTTCACACATATCTTATGATCAATCTAGTGAAAATGGGAGGTAAGAATCTGCGAGTTAGCTGTAAAGTCTCGAAAATTCCGAAATTATTTTTGAAAAGAAATTTCTGAAATTATCGGTTTATCGGTCAGAAATTATCGCCGATAACCGATAACGATTTTACTACGAATTATCGCCTATAATTTTATCGCCGATATTATCGATTGCAAACCCTAATGCTTACCAAAGTTAATTTGCAACTTATTTTTGTAGTTTGTCCTAAATAATGGCAAAAAATGGCCAAAAAATGCAATTTTTGACAAAAAATCAAGTAAAATTAATATTTGAGGTCAAATATCCATTTAATCACTCTGAAAACCTTTTTAAACGTTATTTTGGGGCAAGATACCCCTGAAAAACATGTTTTGTGGTATATCATACCCCTTAGTCATGCCTATGTCTACCTCGCATGGGCGCCCGGACCACTGTGTGCATATTTTGGTTCAAATATTTATTAAAGTCAAAATAACCATTTCACATAAGTGGTTTTATTATAATAAAATAAGTTGTGATAAATCAATAAATAATTTACACTCAAAAATGTACAAAATATACACTGATCGAAAAAGTTTGGTTTGCATTTACTAACTTCAGTGTACAGCATACATGAAAAGATAACTTACTGAATCTTATTAATTCAGATGTTGTTCAATGAGTTAGCCACAAAAATGTTCAAATTATGTAGGAGGGTAAAGGACACAATTTGCTAGTAATGCTTCTTTGTGCCTGTTGACTACAATGAACATTTTGTGGAGTTTCTTCAGACGGCTTTTATTGGAGTGCGTGTTATTTACTAGGTTATGCACAAGCCAGGCCAACATTTTGTTTTTGTGTCAGTCGCGCTACCAGGTTGCAGAGTATGATAAACACTAAAATTATACACTATAAAAATTTGCTAATACATAATATCAGAGTCCAATCTAGCTGCAAACGTCAGACACCAAAGTTCAGCCGCCAAATAGTGGTTGAGTTTGATCAAACTTCAGCCTCATCGCTGAGATTATCCATGCAATCGGGTTGCGAGATGAACGTGGAGGCAAGATTTAAGCTACCATTTCCGACAATGCTGACTAGATTTCCACTGAGGTTTTGAAATCTGTCCCTTGGAACTTTCCCTAGGAAGCAGGAATGGAGCATATGATTCTCGTCTCTGATGATTAACTGGTTGGTGTTCAGCTTGCAATAGTTGCAGGTCCTTTCGTCAAGTGAAGTTTTGTCGTACCTCCCCCTTTCTAAAGTGCAAAGTGTGTAAACGGTAAAAAGGACGAATAATGAGTAATTCCTTGCTTAAAATGCCTATAACTCTTAACATATCGAATATTTTGAAATAATTTTTACGAGAGCATAATAAGCTTGATCAAATGAAACTTTTGGTACTAAGATTAATATATTTTATAATATTTGAAGTGCCAAATAAAAAATTCAAACAATGAGAACTTTTGTGTTCATATCAGGTTCAAAACTTTTGAAAAAAAGGGGGGACCTCCAACCCATGTAAGGCACATTCAAATTAATTGACCGTTTTGTGTACATTTGTAAATGCTGATTTCGATTTTAATGGTAAGTATTTAAAGTGAAGGTGTACACATTTGTACTTCGAATTTTTATACTATCTTCAACATTCACGATTACTTTAAAACTAAAATTAACTACAATCCTACTAAATCATAAAATAATACAGCAGAAACAGCTCAAATATCGTTTTTGGTTTTACAAGCCTGTCAGTACGTGCTTGAATCACGATGTCACTCCTTCGCATCTCGCCGATCTGCATACGGTGGTTGCGAGAAGAATTATTTGATGCGCGGCGCGACCCAGTAGTGCATCGCGCTACAAGTACGTGCACGCGTTTGACAAAAATAGTTATTCACTCATAACTCCTTATAAAATTATTTCCATGCTATTAACTGGTTTAAAGGTTGATACTCGTAAAATATTTGTTCCAATTGTTACTCGTCGACGAGTCCAACTCGGCGCGCGTCTTGGTAGATTATAAGCCTACAAGAGGGCTTTGGTTAGAGCAAGTCTACGTGTATAACTGAATGACGTTCACGTACCTAACCATGTGCTTTCGCGCCACTGCGGGCGCGCTTGTGAGGCGGGCGCGCGCTACTGCAAGCGCAAGGGCTCTGGATAGAGTAATGAGTGACTCGTTGTAGCGCGATGCGTTACTGCACCGCGCCGCGCACTCAATTATGCTTCTCGCTAGATCGGCGAAATGCGCTACTGGGCCTCGCCGAGCTGCGATGAATTGAATTCGTCAATTGACTTTATGACGCGCTTGTTTTTGTAGGTTTATAACCTACCAGGACGCGCGCCGAGTTGGACTCGTCGACGGTCCAATGACCAATATATGGAACAGATATTTTACGAGTATCACGTACCCGTTAAGCTTGTTTCACACGTAACAACTTGTTTCACAAGCACAACCTCCTGTGCTGCCTTCAGCGGTAGCGCGCAAGCGAGAGGGCTCTGCACTGGAGGTGCTTGAAATTGACTAAAAGGTATATACCTTATATTGTAGCGCGATGCGTTACTGTGCCGCGCCGCGCACTCAATGCTCAATGAGGCTTCTCTAGATCGGCGAGATGCGCTACGTACTGTGCCGCGCCGAGCTGAGATGAATTGACATCGTCAATTAATACCTTATACAAAGATACGTCGAAAAGAATCCAGGGTGATACAGGATCGGAGAGTGCAGACCATAAAGTTTGCGCACCCACCTTTGCCTCCTGAATTCTTGTGTCTTGGTTGGATAGAAATTTATGTAATTGTAAACTTGGTCGTTTATACTCTGTACTCGAAGTCCCTTTGTCAAAAGAAGTAATATTATTTATGTCTAGATAGAGTTAGCTTCATTTAATGATATAAAAATATCAATATTATCAATGTCAATATCAGACAAAACCAAAAACTATCGAATAAATCATCAAATATTGATTAATTTGTTCCGATTATGGATTAAAATTTTTATAAATTAAGGTATTTAAAACCATTACAACAAATGGTTAAAAGCGCCCAAAATCGAGTTGAGAGATTTTCAGTCTACAGTACAATCATGATATGTAGCGAAAGCTACAATAATACAACATACAATTACCGCGCACTCGTGACGCGGGCAGCGGACGTGCGCGGCAGGTTTACAACATTTAGCGCATGTGACAAGTACAAGCAAGTTGTCATACGTTGTATGACCCGCCGCGCATGAAGTGCGCGGCTCCCCTGTATCGTCACCATAGTGAAACGACCGTGGGGGTCGCAACGTGATACAACAAGCAAGCGCAAAAGCTTTGTGCGCTGGATAGAGCAAATATCACTTGCACTCGTTAATCATTATTATTACAAATGATTGCCTTTTTTTGAATTGTTCTTTTGTATTTTTAGAGCTTAAGAATCGAGGAATAAGAACCAGTTATGTCAGTAATAAAAAGTATAATGAGTATCTTTGGTTAAGTTTCATTTTTTATTTTATGTGGCAAAGAAGCTTTTTAAAAATTTTTATTCCACTTATTAAAGTGTTTTTGTTTTATTTGAAATTCTGGTATAGTACATTTTTATTTTTAGTCGAATTGTTATTCATAATACATTCATATATTCATTATATAAATATGTACGTAAAACACTTTTTAAAACTTTTTCGCAATTATCACGCCGCGCATATTGAAGTAATGGAGCTGGTGATCCTCCGCACGCAACCTTACTTGCAAATTCGCGCTGCAGGTGGATTCGGCACTGGATAGTTGTTGCTCATTGAATATGTGAATAATTACATACATTACATTTGTTGTTGAATGTTACGTAGTCGATTTGTACTGATCTCGTCTATGCATTGATTTGTTCTCTGTGTAGATTTTACAGGCGACTTGACTTTTCAGTTCAGGGCAGAAATGAAGGTAGATGAATGGGTCGAAGTAACCAAGGAATGCAAGTATCTGCCAGAAAAAGATCTCAAGCATCTTTGTGACCTGGTTTGCGAGATACTTCTGGAAGAATCGAATGTCCAGCCGGTTAGTAGTCCTGTCACAGTTTGCGGGGACATTCACGGACAGTACTATGACTTACTTGAGTTGTTCAGGATTGCCGGCGAATTACCTGACACCAATTACATCTTCATCGGAGACTTTGTCGATCGCGGTTATTATTCACTCGAAACTTTGACCCGGTTAATGGTAATGAAAGTCAAATACCCGGACCGAGTTTTTCTTCTACGGGGAAATCACGAGTCTAGAACTGTTACTCAGGCTTATGGGTTTTACGACGAGTGTCAGTCCAAATACGGAAATTGCAACGCTTGGAAATATTGTTGTCAAGTGTTTGATTTGCTCGCTATTGCTGCACTCATCGACGAAGAAGTACTTTGTGTCCACGGCGGACTATCCCCTGAAATCAAAACTATCGACCAGATCCGCCAGATCCAACGTGACATGGAAATTCCTCAGGAAGGAGCATTTTGTGATCTTGTTTGGTCTGACCCGGAGGAGGTTGAGAACTGGACGGTTAGTCCCCGAGGGGCGGGCTGGCTGTTTGGTAGGAGAATAACCAATGCTTTTAACCACCTCAACGATTTATCATTGATATGTCGGGCTCATCAGCTCGTGCAAGATGGATATAAATTCATGTTCGACGACAAATTGGTCACAATTTGGTCTGCACCGAATTATTGTTACAGATGCGGCAACATCGCTGCGGTTATCTCTTTCAACGATTCAAACAACTACGAACCGAAGTTGTTTGATGCAGTACCGGATGAAAAACGAGTTGTTCCAAGCCGGGTGGTGACTCCTTACTTCTTGTAACATCTCATTGTAATATCAGATATTGTATTGCTTGCGCAGGTGGTGGATAATATTTTAGTTGTCGTGGCTTAGTAAATAAGTTTGTCAATATAATGTCATGTTTTTTTAATCGTTGAGTTGACTGTGATTATCAATAATTCAAATCGCTTTCATCTAATGCAATCTATGTTCCCGCCTGAATCTGGGTAATAATGCTGTGAATATGTTTACGTAATTGAAGACCCTTTAACTTTTAGTTCAATTCATTGGACAACGAAACCCAATACCAATGACTCTGCACTTACTGCCACCTAACTTATCACGTGATGGCAGCTCTGGAGTCTCATTGGCTGACACTGTGCACGTTACTGAAATACGGTGATTTCATTGGCTCACACCTGTGCGTGCTCTCGTCCGGCTGGTTGTGTTCAGTTTGATGGTTTTGTTACCATGGCAACAGCGATTGAGTATTGTGAGATGTGGCGGGATGTTCGAATTTTGATAGTTTTGAAGCATTATCCATAGGATAATATGAATTTTAAACAGTTGTGTGACAATACTTGTAGTTTTGTATAACATGTGAATGTGGCATTAGACTGAACTGTAATGAAACCTCTGGAAAGGTCTACGTACCGTTTTCTATGTTTTTGCTATTTTTATTTGAATACTGATGACCTTTTACTGTCCATCCAGATTCACGATGCCATTAAAATATATGCTGTGTCGTATGTTTATTTGATAATCAGATGTAATTTTCTGAGTGTTTTGAGATAAATGAGTAACCGTTGCGTGAATGTTATTGTCTCGTTGATCCCTCTCTCGGCCTCAGTAATTGTCATGTAAAGCAAGTAGAGTGCTTTATTTTAGTCTGTGATTAAATTAAGTTGAGTGCATTAAGTAAGGTGAGCAAACCCGGAACATCAACGACATGCTTTACATGACATCAATTTAACTCCAAGAGCTTGTAAGTGACCTTGTTGATGTAATTCTATATCCATCTGCATGCCTATACACATTCCCTGTCAATGTAGAATCTATAAATAGCCATAAAACATTTACTTCACTGCAGAGAGAAATTTAGTACTGACTGTTGCTAACTCTTGTTTCAATTACATGTTACTACCATTATATATTCTGTTAACAGTAATTTGACCACATGTTTAACTAACGAACTAACGAACTAACCTTGAATATTTATATAGCAAAGTCCTGGAAGTGTTCAGCTCAGAATCACATAGCTTGGGGTCGCCAGGTGCAGGCAACCAGTCTCTAAGCGCCGACGCAGCGTCCATCCGTGACAACAAGCGACGCAGATTCGAGACTCATCCCGGCCATGCAGGTTAGTCTGTTAGTCAGTTGGGGGGGGGGGGGGGGGGGCGGGGAGGGGGGGGGGGGTATGTCTTACCAATTTGTTAGTTTGAGGGGTGGAACGGCTACTACCATCAATCTGGAGTAGGGGCCACAAGTTGGTTACTGGGTCACTAATCGGTTGATATGATTTTGAAATCTAACCTTTAGGACTGGCTACGTTCGGATGTCACATTATCAGTTTAGTTAGGATGCTCTCATTTGCGGTAACGTAGCAGTGAGCCTGGTTCGTTGTCAATTTGAACATTTTGGAGGGGTGATCTCAATTCTTACTATTGCAAACATTTTGCTGCCTTCCTTGCTCGATTTTGTGAAAAGATGTAGGTCATCTCTACGTTCGAGTTTATTCAGGTTAATTATTTGATATGGAAGCCGTGTTGGAACACGTACAAATACCCCACAAATACTTTGCATTGCAGGATTTCTTCCATTGTTTTTAAAACGACTTTACCTAAGAAGTCTTCAATAAGGGTCAATAACTCTGGCCTTCAGCTCATATAAAATTAATTAAAGATCGTTTTAAACTGAATCTGTATCAGAACTAAGACTTCATTTCCCCACTATTCCCTCTCTCCCACACAGAATATCCGCACTAACACCTATTCATAACATCATATTCAACACACAACACTCTAATCAGTAACTCTCTAACACTAACTCTCTAACACTCTAACTCAACACTCTAACTCAACTGTAAACTTGCTGATAGCAGTACTAGACTCAACCTCTCACTTCACCCACACTTCCACTGTAGACCACCTCTCCCTCATTTAACAGTCTTCTCTGTATCCTCCCGTCAACACACACACACTGTCTTCACTCACTTTTATACGCAGAGAATAACCTCTCTAGCAGCTACACTCTAAATACTGCGTGCATAAATTATGTTCATAAATTATGTTGCCTCTAGATATCTATATAACATATATATATTAGTATCATATCGGCACACACACACACACCCCACACACATTATTTGCATACATAATTCAGTAATAATGCTCACTGAGCTTGTAGCGTGAGACTGCGTGTAAGATGCTTGATAAAGCAGCTGCTATATATCCCATCTGGAAGAATCGTTACTATATATGCTGTGTGCATGTGATCTTTGCACTTGGTCTGTTTTACTTTGTTGTTCTCCTTCGTTTTCTTCTAACGGATTTTTTAGTACCACTACTTTCGGTTTGAAGTCAAGTTTGGTGTTGTGCTGTATTTTTTGTGTGTATCTGTGAAAACACCTTGGTATTTGAGAAATGTCCGATTCTGATGAGCTGCCTGGACCCTCTAACAGTGGTATGTGTAGATATTGGTATCTCAACTATGTAAACTATTTCTCGGAAAATGCAAGTTCCGGTGTAATTTACTAACACTACACTTGGGGCGCCAGTCCCCCCCTTACTTATTACCAGGTAGTTGATTATTATGGGTAAACAACACGGGATATTATATGTTGCAACATCTCATATACAGGTATACTCTCAGTCATGATATCAATATTTCATCTAAACTTTTGAACTTGTAGGATTTAGGAAACCTTGGAATTCCTGGGGTGGAATGTATGGTAATCGTGCGCTATACAGTAACAACTCGGAATTTCGTTAACTGAAGTTATTGAATCCTTAATGTGACAACAGTTTTTAGCTCTCAACGTATCTAACAGGGGGACACACCCGTTTAGAGGACAGCCCTATTTTCTTAAACACCTGTTATCTGCATCTGACACCTCAAGTTTAGGATATAGTTTTAAGTTTTTTTCGTCAGACATAACTGTTTCTTAAGATGGTTAAAACGTCGGTCTGTCCTAGGACGCTTGGTGGTCGCGCTTCAGAGTTAGGTTACAGTTAAAAGTAAGGGTCCTGGGACAAGATATTGTAGAGCAGAACGTGGTGTTCCCTCAAACTCAGTTGGTACATAATATGTCTCTCAATTTAGTTGGACAAGCTAACTCAGAGAAGTGTACACACACACACTTGACAGTTACTGCTGCACAGGACTTATTACAGCTCATATTCTGCACTTAGATCACAAACATTCCTCATTCTAGCTGTTAAGTTGTTACTGGAATGGGCGTGTTACTGTGTGTGTGTGTGTGTGGCTATTATACAAATTCCTATGTGGACTCTAACCTAAAGAGTAACGAGATAGCTTTTCTGGAATGCTATGTGTATCAAGTGTTAACCAGGTCGATCATGAGGTCATTTAACCATGATGAATTCTGTAAGAGTTTGAGAAATGTCATTCAAAATTGAATTTAAACATTCGCACAATACTTTTAAAAGGCATGCAATGCGGAAAACAAATCTGTATCCTTAGCAAGTGTGATTTATGAACTGTGATGGAAGTTAATTTTACCGTGACATGAACACACAGTTATACATTTTACATGTTTACATTCCTCACGCTCACACGGCATACACGCGGCTTCTCCAAAACTAACATAACTGTCATAACATCTAAGTTTGTGCGGAGGGGTAACACAATTAGTATAACGTTATATAATATCCAGATTCCAGGGCTATCCTAACATAATTATGTAATTGAATTAATTATGTTGTGTAAGAGCTACACTGGCGTGTCGGGCTGAAGTCTCACTGATAAATTAGACAAATTACTGACATGAGGTCGTTGTGTGTAAGTGATTTGTCCTGAGTGTGGGGACTAGGATGAGATCATGTTTTGAAAAATGCGGGAAAACACTCAAACTTTTTCCGGGGGAACTCCGGAAACGACTGGAATGTTTTAACATGTGGATCTCAAATGTTGAAGAGTTTTCCTGTGTCCAGTTAGATGGTCGGTGCTATTTTTTATTAAATACTTTTCAAATGTTTAGTTTAATAAATCCCTCTGAAGCACCACTAAATCCCTCTGAAGCACCACTCCCAACTCATTACTCAAGCTCGCACAAAACCATGAACTCTCTTAAACTTCCGTGTTTACGCAATCCCTGTAACTTTGCCAGCCACATTAGTCACACAATTGCAGTGACGTGACATGTGATCATCTCACTGCAACTACACTTCATCTCATACACTCACTCTACTTCACAACGCTAAACTGGAACGCTAACCATCTTTACAATGAGGCACTCTATTTATTACGTGATACTCTCCTCCTTTCTCAAGCATTACCTCACTCTCCTCCTCCAGACACTTTCCCTCTTCTCCTCCTCGACCAATCAGAGCACAGAATACTGCCCACGTGCTCCTCCTCGACCAATCAGAGCACAGAATAATGCCCACGTAATGCCACATCGTATCAGATAAAACCCCACGTGACAGAATGAACCAATGAGATGGGAGAAGCGGGTGCACGTGGCGGTTATTTCATCAATCAGAACCTATTTTACGTGACATCATGAGCGCGTGTAATATGATACTGGTTTATATTTAGTTACTGCTACACTCTAGCGTGTATGAGAGGAGACCGTCCTGCTGTCCCGTGACAAGGTGACCGACACACCGGCTACGGCGGTCACTGTTGAACTTTTGGGTTTTGGTTCTCCACCACCATAATCGGATTTATTAAGAAATGCTAATTTAATTTGTGTTAATACCACAGCTGTAGGGTGAAATCAGCGTGAAACGTGAGCTGTTACTTATTAAACATCTTGGTAAGAGTATAACTAACACATACAGACGTGGTGGTTATTTTAGCAGTTCTAAATTTATACCCAGAATCACATTACCTTAACCTGATAAAGAAGGAGATAAGGATATTCTGAGGATAAGATAAGAGCGGTGTAGTTCCCACGACAGTCCGTATATGAAGCATTGTCACTAGCCCCTCTGTGTTTATTAGTTCATACCCGGTATGTGTGCAATCTCACATACCTTTATATACTGGGTTTCATGATAATAAAATAATCGCATACCTTGAACGCTAGGCCCAAGAATAAAACCAACTGGGAAGTTCTAGGATATGTAACAGTTTCAAGTTTCAACAGAACAAAAAGTTGAGTGAAATGTGAGTTTCTGTAGAAATCACAATGTAGTTGACTACTTAGACAGAGTCTAGACAAGAGAGAATCCAGAGTCTCAAGATTTTAACTACTCCTCGTGACCTCAACTTAAGGTCCTGCGGGACATCCGGGACATCCAGACATCCGGGATCAACATGTCCTACCACATGCCCTCCACATTCCCTCCGGCCTCCTCTACCCTTTAATGTGACATTTCACTGGTACCTTCACATATCCTATTACTATCGTACAGCTATGTTCAGGAAATCGAATTCGCTTGGAATAAGTCCAACTGGCATGGGCACGTCATTCAGATATCTGGGCCTAATTTTTGGCTTGATTTCTGGCTTAAATTCAAGGGTTTATCAGGGCCTTAATCTAATTTTAAAACTTATCAGTAATGTTTATTTATGCTTAGTTCCTGATCACCAAGCATTATTTTTCTTTGTGTTCATGTGGGTTATAGTTGAATGAACTATATTTGTCTTCTCAACATTTGTCTTAGTTCCCAGTTCGCTGACCCCCCTATCTTACAACCCTTACTAAGGTACGTGGTTAGCTGTCTTTGAGAGTAGATACTAGATGTTTAGTAGTTTAAGCTAGTACAGTGTGGGGATTGGGTAATCCTTAGTTATCAAAACATTGGGACGTAGGTCGTAGGGTGGCTGTAGTTGCTCCTAGTGTCTACATTGCATAATTGGTTGATTTTGACTAAGGTCACCGTAAGTAAATCATAGTTGGAGAACCAGTAAACACGTACCACTGGGAGATGTAGGTGTTTACTTGTTAGCTACCTTCAAAACTATATCTTCAGATAACAAGCTGATCTTAATAACCTATATTCCTGTAAATACCTGACTTTAAATGAAGCACACACATTGGTTCAAAATGAACAAACAGTAAAAAAAGTATGTTGCCATGACGATTGTTAGGCTCGCCTAAGAAGCCCTAAAATACACATAATCTCCCAAAGTCCCGGTAGGTTAGGAGTCTGTCCTCATAGTACACACTTC